ATTTTGCACATCACTGAATCTGGAATGATAAACTAGGAAATATGTGTGCATGGGCTCTATCTATATTGCTTCTTACAACTCTGTGTAATGTAAAATTATCTCAAAAACTTCAAGAAAAATGATATATTGTGAGGCCTCCTTCAGGGATTTAGTTAGAAGGCTTCTGGGAGGCAGTAAGAGTGAGCTCCTCATGAATGGACTGATGGACCACATGTTGTGACTGCTCAAAGGAGGAACTGTCACGTCCCAGAGGTGGTCCTCCTAGTCTCCCAGTTCCCATCTCTTGTAACAAGTGACGCTTCAAAGGAATCTATCAGTCCAGGTCAGAGCACAGCTTGCTACTTAATAAGCAAAGTTAGGGTTGCTATGAGATCATTGAAATATCTTCACATTTTGATTTCAAAATAAAATATGACTTCATTTTAAGAACTCAAAGTGAACATTTAAACAGTTATTACCACATTATCTGTTAACCATGTGGGTAATGACATGCTTAACATAGTAAAGTTGTTGGAAATTATTGAAAATTCATGACATGGTCCTATTCATGATGTTTCAATAAATTGGCCACTTGACAGGAATCAGTTATATATCAGAGCCAAACAAGAAGTTGCATTCAGGATATAATGACAGAGGATGTATGCATGTTTTACTACACAACTTCTAGTATCTCATGGAAATGTCCTTCATTTCCAAGTCTTTATCCCTTTATCTGCATGCAGAACACTATCTTCCTTTCTGTGTACCCATTGTATTTCTCACTTTGTGGGTTTAATTTTCTTTGCAAATCTATTTCCTGTTGAAGGGTGGTTAAACACAGAAAATTCATTTGTAACTTAGTGTAACCTTCCCTTGGCAAGCAAGATGTATGTGTGAAAAGGCTGTTTCACAGAGCAGTGTTTTGAAAGGCTTTCTCTCTATCATCACTCAATTTACTGTACACTCTTGCTATCCTAATATCAGACACCGAGAGTGGATCCTGTCTTTCTATTTGTTTGTTTTTCAAGTTTTATTCCATAAATTATAATTAGTTATGTGGAAAATGTAACATGAGATCTTTAGAAGATTACATACCATATGACTAAATATGAATCTTACTGGAGGACATCGGCAAGAAAGATTAATAAATAGTGAAGGAAGACTATGCAGAAGTTAATCCTTTCTCTTTCTTTTATCAGAAAAATAACTAAAAAGGGAAAATTGTAATGTGGGACAATCTTCATCTGTAATTATAGTGGACTTTCTAAAAAATGTAGGGCCAGTAATAGCATGAAAATCACAAATGCGGAATTTAATGTAGTTTTATTTTATCTACTTTTAAATTTACATAAGAAGCAAGGACAAGACTGTTGAAAAAGGGTTCATGGTTGTAATCACATCATCAATGATTAGTGGAACACGGCACAGTAAAACAGGCAGGAGTTAACACAGAAACGCAAATTTAGCCACACTGAAAGTCAGTCTTCTTTGAGTTTTGTATATGGCAGATGAAAATTAAGGTGCTGCTTCTAGAGAAACTTTGGGAATTGCCTGTGAGGACTTCAACTTTGTAATACATTCTTTTCTTCCTAGTATACTTCTTTGTACAGTGGGTGGCTTTAACGAAATTGGCCCCCATAAGCTCATAGGGAGTGGCACTATTAGGAGGTGTGGCCTTGTTGGAATAGGTATGGAATTCTTGGAAGAAGTGTGCCACTGTGGGGGTGGGATTTGAGGTCTCATGTATGCTCAAGCTACACCCAATGTCCCAGTTCACATCAGGTTGCCTGCAGATCAAGATGTAGGACTCTCGGCTCCTTCTCCAGTAATATGTCTGCCTGCATGCTACCTTGTCCCACCATAATGACAATGGACTAAACCTCTGAAACTGTAAGCCACCAAATGAAATGTTTTTCTTTAAAAGAAAGGAAGTTGTATCTTCACAGCAATAGAAACCCTAACTAAGGAATATGGCTTACCTTTAACATGTCATTAATAAGACCAGTTCCTTGGGGTTAGGAAGCCTTACTGCACATCTCATGGAGCCATGCTAAGTGTTCCTGATGTTAAGCATAGTGGTATCCTTTAGTTTCTGGATCACTTATCCCCAATCAACCACAGTATTCAAGGAAGGCTATGGCAACTGTGAGTTTGACCTCCAGGCAGAGCTATTAGGCTGGATCTGCCTCATTTGTTTATTTAGTCTGCTGGGTCAGACAGGAGCAAGCTTCAAAGAATAAAAAAAATAAGCAGATTCTAGGTGTAAAGAATCCAAAGCATGAAGACAAAAATAGGCCACATTTTAAAATGAGAAATAAACAAAAGAAACAGAAATAATATCATTAACATGTTAAAAGATTCAATAAATACAATTAATTCAGATGACATGGAAAGGAGCAAAGACCAAACAACAAAATTTTCTTTGAAATTTGTCTCAGAGTTCTATTTTACTTCTGAAATTAAATTCTGGGCTAGACCCATAGAGAAAGTTAGAGCAAAGGTCATTTGAAAATAAAATGCAATAATTTCCACATTCACTTAGAAAGTAAACGGAAAAATTAGCACCCTTGGGAAAAGACAGGGAATTGGTGGAAGACCAGAATCCTCCACTGATACAATGCAGAGGCCTCCTGCTGGGCTTGGAATAAGAAACAGGCTCCTGTCCACAGCTCCCTACAGGGATAAGGCAGAGGTTGGTTTTTTGTTTTTTCATATTCTGTTTTATTTTAGAAACATGAGCACAACAGTCTTCCTTTGTAAATCATATAAAGCAGAAAACGGAGAAATAACTGTAGGAACTTAAAAATAATCCTATTAACCCAGGTTGCAAAACCTAGAGAAAAATCTTACAAAAAGTTAAGTTAAAGCATATTTTTATCTTAAATAAATGTATGAAAATATCCAGCATCCTTTGTTATCAGGGAAATACAAATCAAAACTGCAATGAGATTCCACCTCACCCCAGTCAGAATGACTATCGTCAAGAAAAACAAAGAGCTGCGGATCTTGGTGAGGATGGGAGAGAGAGTGTTTCATGTCTTTTCCTGGAGAGACATGAATAAATATCTATTCATCCTAGATAGGGTACTGAAGACAGAATAAAGGAGGGATGAATTTGTTGGAGTTACAGGAGATGGACATGTGATTATTACAGAAGCATGGTAACTCAAAGTCAAATGCAGCATTGGAAAAGTCCACTACAGTGTGAGCGACAACTTAGAAAAGCTATGTCCATTCAGTTCCTGCCCCAGCTGCAGGCAGTTCCACTAAACGATTACTCTACCCTCTTAATGTTCACTGCTTTTATACCCTTAGGGAGGGTCCTTGTGAATGCTGTAACTTGCATGTGTTTCCCGAGCCTTGTAAGTTTCTAGCACCTTGAGTCTTGTGAGCCTCCCTTCACCAATCAGGACTGAATCTGTCAGTTCAGAAGACTTAGTTATAGCTATGTTTTCAACCACGTTCACAAAAGCCTCAAAAAATACCTGGGGAAAATATAAGTAGAGAAGTGTGAGACCTCAGCAATGAAAACTTTGTAACACCGAAGAAGAAGGCAGGAAGATGGTAGAAGGTGGAAGGGCCTCTAATGGTTGTCTTAAAAGTTTTAGCCTTTAAGACTCCCTTTCAGGATTCAATAAATGATGCCACGAATAGCTTAAGGGGGCTAAAGTCTGAGGGTAAAGAGCTGAGGGGTAAGAAATGCACTCACAACAGGTTCCATCTTTTTATGTTTCTTTCTTCTACTTCTTTCTCATTTCTATCAATTCTCCCTTGTTCTCTCTTGTTCTCCTTAATCTCTGTTCTACCCATTACAAATGTTCCCAGTAATATATACAATATATACTCTTAAAACCAGCAATTCTCCAGCCTTAGCAGGTATCAGGGCATGAATTCTTTTGCCCCATAGAAAATCAGTTAAGGGTTTGCATGCTTATGTGCACACACACACACACACACACACACACACACACACAGAGGGGGGGGATATCCATGGGCGTGGCTAGTACATGTCCAGTGAACTCCTTAAGGGAGAAAGATAGTTAAGAAAGAAATTCAATCATCATGGAACTCTAGAGAGGAAGGTTAATGTGCTTTACTACATTTTTAGGTGGTAGAGAAAAGAGCCAAAAGGTTTATTTTTAGTAAAACTATGAATAGGGCATGGATTGTTTAAATCAGCACACCACTTCTTTTCTCCCAGTATACAAAGAAGATACAAGGCAACCGGGCAACCTAGGTAAACAGTCATGGGGAAGCTGATGGCTCTTGACCAGAAAGCACACACACCAGACACTGCAGTTTCTATGGGCCTAGGTCTGGAGTTAGACTTACTGCTCTAAGCAAAGAAGAGGTCCATGCTTCTAATTTTCAGTTCTAGGCTATGCTGTTATCAGCCATTCTGGTCGCAGGGGCAAAACCAGAGCAGCATGTTGGGCAGGTAGCAATTCTATGTTCTTGGAGACCTGTGACTATCTTAAATGGGATACTCTTGCCTAAATACTGATCAAATGCCTGCTGATAAAGTTAATTGCAGAAAAGCAGATCTCTGAGCTTACCTAGGAGAGAGGAGCAAGATCTGGCAGTGGGAAAACTGTTTTCACTGAACAGTTCTGAATTGTGAGAATTAATCCCCAAATATGTAACAGGAAGGGAATAAGCTACAACAAAAAATCTGCAGCAAAGAACAGCCACTTTACTCATAAAGCAATAATGCCAAAAAAGCCTTGTCTTTTGGTTTAGCCTTCAGCAGATCCCTTGGTTCTAATAAATTGCTCATGAAAAGATGGTTGAGCAATTACTGTATAAAGTTGTGGCTTTTAGCAGGCCTCCTATGCTGATGAGTCTTCTGAATTAATACTGCAAAATGACCATTACACAAAAGCAAGCCATAGATTTGATGTAGTCACCATCAAAATCCCACTAATATTGTTCCTAGAACTGGAAAATAAAAACCTAAAATTCATAGACGAAGCTTGTAACTTATATGGATTCTTCATATGGATATTTTTGCTTATTTAAAGACTCATCTTGGCTGTACATTTACTAAAATTGGAACAATTCAGAGTGTAGTTACAGGTCCCCTGCACAAGGATGGTACATAATCTGTGAACTGTTTCATGTTTAAAGAAAGAGACTCACACAGACTCATCTACACGATTATCACAAAAGATCAAAGAAATCATAATGAAGAAGAAAAAGAACAGTAACAACTTTTAAGATTGATTAAAATGAGAGTAGAATGATTTAGAAAATGTTAAGTTATATGAGAATAAGAAAACAAGCTAAGAAATTCTGCCTCAAACACAATTTAGGCATAACTATTAGGTAGATAGTTTAGTAACAGTTTTTACTTAGACACTTTAAGAAAAAAGAGAGTTAAAGTTACACTTCTGGTGGAGATAACGATTAAAGCTTGCTAATTTCTGCTTTCTATCACCTTGGACCCCTCCCTCCTTCCTGGGAAAGCATAGGACTGGTTTTCTCCCTTGAAAAATGATCACAGCCCTTAACTACCCAGACAGCAAATTCTGTTTGCTAAAGATAAAACTACTCAGAATTCTTCTGGCTTCGGTAAAATTGGCTTTAGTTCCTGAGAAAATTTCCTTGGGGATGGGAATGAAAAGACAACATTAGGATGACCACATAGACAAGATTATGTCAATGCTGCTGTAAATGTGAAGTATAAAATTTCCAGCTTGAGGCAGGACCTTCTCAGTGCCTGGTCCTTCCTGAGCGCTTATTACACCCGAGTTCCCGCTCTGAGAGCTTGGGTAGTCTTTGCTCTAACTTTTTCAAGGCTTTAAGTTTATTTTGAGTTGGTATTTCCAAGTTCTTCACTAAATCTCAGATTCTGACAAATGATGTTGTTATCACATTTATATGCTCTGAAAATATAGTTAAGTGAAATATTGTTTAGAGATTCTAGCCTATGTTTTCCTCACTAAGGTTTATTTCATCAGACTGATAATTACATTCATAGAAGTTTATACCGTATGAAAATTATTGAGAGTTATACATAGATTCATTAAGAGATAGGTGCATAGTCATGTGCCAATAATTTTTTATGCAAAGTCTTGCTCAAGTGAGTGTCATCTGAGAGGATGAACTCTCATTAGAGAAAATGCCTCCGTAGGATATAGCTGTAGGCAGCCTGTGGGACATTTTCTTAGTTAACAATTGATAGGGAAGGGCTTATCACACTGTTTTTGTGCCACTTCTGAGCTGGCAGTCTTGGGTTGTAAAAAAAAAAATAGGCTGAACAAAGCCAGAGGAGCAACCAGTAAGTAGCATTCCTCCATGGTCTCTGTAATAGCTCCTGCCTCCAGGTTCCTGTTTTGAGTTCCTGCCTGGAACTCTGTGATGGACTCTTAACTGCAAGTATAAGAAAAATAAACCCTCCCCCACCCGAGTTATTTTTGGTCATGGTGTTTTATTACAACAATAGAAACCTAAGTAAGACAGAATTTAAGCATCCTATTTTTGCTTTAACTTATTTTGTTACTAGCTTTCAGTCCTGATAGAAATGAAAATTCCTCTCAGAAAGTTCACACTGGAAGAGCATCACAATCATGGTATGATTATATTTTGATCTTTTATTAATATTTTCAAGTGAGGAAATGAAAGCAACAAGGGCCAACACTCTAAACAAGCTACCTAGATCACTAAAAACTCTAGGGAGCTGGCTTAATAGTGAATTATTGCCCATTGGGTTGGCCATAGCTAAGCCTATCAACCTTTGCTGTTGCCAACTACATTCTCTTTACATTCATTGTTGACTGCAGGCAGCATTAGTATCTCAAGAGCCTCATCTCTAGGCTCTGAAATTCTCTTTTCTGCTGCTTTATGAGGCCTCTTCAAGATGAGCTATTTTGAACTGGGGCTGGATCTCAATGCGCCTCTTTGTTGTGGCTGATTTGTCTTGATGGGTCAGCATGGCTTCTGAGCCTGCAGGCTGCCTCCCAGTGCTTCTTCTAAGAAGACCCACCTTCCGATGTTGCTGCCTTACTTCTTCAAGACTAGCTGTAATTCGTATGGTCCTGCTTCCCCTCCCCTCCCATTTCCCATCAGTTACCAATATTCTTTGTCTGAATAGAGACACAGTTGTTAAATTCCTTTAAACAAGTGTTCCTATGTTACTCTGACATGACAGTATGTACTCCCTGTGTTCCCAAATTCAAAATCCCAAATCTCAAATTTGAATTAAGATGAAAAAAAGCGCATGTTATTTGTACTAAATAATTATAAGATAATTTTAAGTTGAAGAGTTGAGTTAGCACACAAACAATTGTTGTTATGCTGGAAATGGCTGGACTGTCAGACATGCAGTTTTGTTACTTCAGAGATGATCTGAACTGTCAGAGTACCAATCCAGTCAGGCATTTGGTGGTTGACTATTGTAGATAAGTGAAAAGCAATTGGAAGACAAAGTTAACAGTTTCTTAAAATAGTTCCAGGTATTTATTCATTTATCAATTTTAGCTATAGAATTGCATTAAAGTCACTTCATTCGAAATGAGCACATGTTGATTGTAGCCTCCAAGGTTGGTGGCAGACGTCAGTAGCTTGTGAACAATGCTTATCTTTATAAAACCAGTTTCACTGAAAAACGTCTGTGTTTTTAAATGTTGCCTAGGACTGATTTCATGCTGTGATTATGGAATGAAGCATCTGTGACAGATACCATATATACTCCAAATACACACACACACACACACACACACACACACACACACACACATCTATCTATCTATCTATCTATCTATCTATCTATCTATCTATCTCTGTCTTGTCTTGTCTTGTCTGCCTTGCCTTGCCTTGCCTTGCCTTGCCTTGCCTTGCCTTGCCTTGCCTTGCCTTGCATTGCCTTGCCTTGCCTTGCCTTGCCTTGCCTTGCCTTGCCTTGCCTTGCCTTGCGTTGCCTTGCCTTGCCTTGCCTTGCCTTGCCTTGCCTTGCCTTGCCTTGCCTTGCCTTGCCTTGCCTTGCCTTGCCTTGCCTTGCCTTGCCTTGCCTTGCCTTGCCTTGCCTTGCCTTGCCTTGCCTTGCCTTATCTTGTTGGAACACGGTCCAGGAATGAAACTGTGTGAGAACTCTGAGTGCTTGTGGAAACACTCCAGGAAAACAAGATAAGAATCTTGTGATTTCAGTTTCTTCAAAACATGGAACTGTTTCTGGAATGTGTTTTCATGCTCCTCCCAGGAATAGTGAATAGGAGTGAATCTACTTCAGATTTATCATTATTGCTTGTGCTGTTATTCAATTGAATGTTTAGGCTATTCTTTCTATGCCTCTATGGAAAAACATGTTTTATTTCCCCCATGCGTTGTTTGTCCTTGTGAATGTATTCAGTTTATACTCATGAGACATTTACTTATGTGACCTTTCTTAAACTTTGATATATAAATTAACTATGGCCCTGATTAAAGTTTGATATTGCATGAGGCTTTAGTTCACCTCATTTATCGTCTCTATTCTCCTAGGCCCCATCGTTTCTAGAGCAATAACAATATAAATATACATATTCAGAAATATTATATATATATACATATGTATATATATGTATATATATATATATATATATATATATATATATATATGAAACATTTCATTGCATCATTGTCTTTCACAATGTCCCAGGTACAATATCAGCATCACAGGTAAATCACTAAAAGCAAAAGAGAATAAAATGCTTCTTGCAGGCAGTCTGGGCAACGGAAGGCTATCCAAGAGAAGTTTTGGTGAGGGTACTGTATTGATCGTGTCCCAGAAGCCAGGGACCTTGAACCAGACCAACAACTCATTGCAATGAACATTTGCAGTAAAGATGTATGGACAAGAGGATATGTTCCATGACACACTGCAGCTCCCAAGGCCACAATAAGAAATGAGTAAGTGGTAGAGAGGCGGGAAAGACGGAAGATCGAAGTGTTTTTTAAATTGTTTTTATTTTTTATTTGTTGCAGGACTACAAAGGTGGAGGGAAGACATGGAAAGACTGTGAAATGAATGGGTTTGGGATGCATGATGTAAAATTACCAAAAAAATCAATAAAAGAATTGTGCTGATAAAAATGATTGTGGAATTAATAAAATGATACCTATTAAGACCAGACAATGTTCTTAGATTTGAACCTCAATATACAAACAAGTATGATTGAAATCTCTGTCTGGTAATCCAGTCAAGTAAAGCAATGGCCACCAAATTTTACACCTTTTCTTCCTGTGGGCCTGCCACATCCACTGTCTCTACTCTCCCGTCACTCCTCTCGCAAGGCTGCCTGCTCTTCTCCCAAATGTTAATGCTCTATTACTTGGCTCCCACACATTTATTAAGGGAATGCTCCTTTCATTTCCTTCTCATCATTCACCCATGGAATCAGGCTCATCTTTCAAGACAAAATGTTTTATTTTATATTTGTCTTGAAAGACAAAATATTTTATTCCTTGGATTTCTTCTCTGATTATCCTTAAACTCAGCAGTGATTTATGAACTAATTGTACCCTTTTTTATGTGACAGTTCAGAGTCTTACATTATTTTAAAGGAGAGAAAGAAATATGTCTGCAGCAGTGTTTCAATTGTATTTTAATAAATAAAGCTTGCCTGGGCATTGGGAGAGTAAAACAGCCCCACTGGTCAGCCCGACAGTCAGGCAGTGGTAACATACACCTTTAATCTTAGTAGCCACACCAGTTGCCATAGCAACTGGGCGGTGTATGCCTTTAATCCCAGGGATGTACACCTTTAATCCAGGAGCTAGAGAGTATTATAAAATGGGAGGAAATAGCTCTCAGACACAGTCTCATTCTGAGATTCCTGGAGGCAGGATTGCCATTTCGAACTGAGGTCAAGGTAAGCGCCAGTGGATGGTTGTTTTGTTTTTCGGGTCTTCAGGTTGAACCCCAGTTTCTCACTCTGAGTATTTATTAATTGTGCTTCATATGTCATACACTTATTACCTTTTAAAATGCACCCAACATAATCAAACTACTGTCCTGCATTGCAAAAATCTTAAATTAAATTTTTACTGCTGACACAATTAGATAAAATATATTGAATTCTGTTCTTGTATTCTTGTGTGTTTCAGCTGGACACTCTTTCCTCCTATCTTGGGAAGACTCACACTTGT